GGGAGGATTGAAGCAAACCCACTTCCCCAAGTAAAGCAACGGTGTTGTTTCGCGCCCAGAGAGTGTAACATCGCGCCAACGTTAATGACCAGTCGGTGAATTCACCTGAACACTAAGAGATGCTCTGATGTTCCGCTTGGGCTTTGGGCCCATTACTGTTATTTTCCTTTTTTTTTTTTTTTGGGTGCTAAAATATCACATTAGTCCTTTTCTTGAAAAATTGAAAATTGATTGGCAGTAACTCAAAGATTAAAAAAACTCTATATATCATAATTTATTAATGATTTAATTAAATTTATTAATTTGATATTAATATTAAAATTAATATTAATTTATATATTTTTTCAATACATTTATGACAAAAAGATGCTTTTAATCAGGATACAAGTTAATCAAACCTTAAAACTAATATCCCAACTTTAGGTTTTTATAAACAAGAATCCTATTATCTTACAAATACCAAAACCTAATTAAGAACATTCAAAGTCACGAACTGCTAAATATTTTGATGGAGAATTTGTTAGGCAGTTATGGGAAATTGAACACAATCTACCTATAATTTTGAGCAAGTGAACATAAACATAATTACTTAGCTTTGAAATGTGCACATAACCAATTTATGGTCTAGGTTACAATCAAAATTTACACATAACTACTTGAAATTTGTAATATACCCCTAAATTTTTTCTCATTTTTCTTGAGATCTTTTTATATTCTAAATTAAAGAATTGAAGACATTTTACACAACCTCCAAAATAAGGTTATCTACGCTTACCCAAAACTACAGACAAGTAATGCGCACTTTAAATATCATCAAATGTTAAAAACAAAAGAACAGAAAAAGAACAAAAGTAACAACCAAGTAGGCAAGTACAGACGTGTAACAAATACTTTTTTTGGAACTATTACAAAAAAAAAAAAAAAACCTCTGCACAAGGCTAGGGGGACAAGGTGCTGCTGCCTAGAGTTAAAGAGGCCTAAGTACAGGCGCGTAACCGGATCAGTTTAAGTACCATTTTGATCCCTCGAACTTTTCGCTTTAACATTAAAATTATTTTTAATTTTAAAAAATATCAAAATTATCGTTAAATTATTATTTTTGATATCAAAACCATCCTTTCATTAGTTAAATGACAGATGGCACCTCAACTTACTAGCAAATCAATTCTGTTTTTTTTTTTTAGCTAATGACATGAAAATTTTTTTTTATGAGTTGGTATTTTTATGTAATTTAAAAATAATAATATTCTTTTATCCACATTAGAAAATTAAAAAAAAAAAAAGAAGAAAGAATCTTCTCCGTTCTTCTTCCTCTTTCACTTTCTCTCTCCTTTACCTTTCCTTTTCCCTTACCTCTGCAAACCCTAAAATTTGAAGCTTAGCATCTCTATCAAGATCTGGATGCCCTAATCAAGATCAAGAACAAGATCGACTTGACTCTTGCTTTTCGTCGATCTTGCCAAGAAGGAATTTGTGGCTCCTGTGCGATGAACATCGATGGCCTTGCGTGTCTCACTAAGATACCATCCAAGCCAGAGTCGACGATTACACCGTTACCCCACATGTTTGTAATTAAGGATCTTGTGGTGGACATGACCAACTTCTACAACCACTATAAGAAAATCAAGCCGTGGCTCAAGAGAAAGAATCCGCCACCAGTCGTTGGGAAGGAGATTCTTCAGAGCAAGAAAGATAGAGCGAAGTTGGATGGGATGTACGAGTGCATCCACAACTTTCCTTTCTCATCCTTCTTCTTTCTTCTTTTTATTCTTTCTCTCTCTCTTCTCCCTTCTTCCTCCTCTCTAAATCTGGGTTTTTCTCAAACCCAGATCTGCCTGCCATTTCCTATAATTCTCGTTTCCTTCATCGCTTTAGGAAGGGCGTTATTTGTTGATGGTCATCTAAGTTCATTCATTTACGGTAACAAGAAACGGATTTCAATTTTTTCCACAGGTACCAAATTTGTTGTTTGCTCTTCGTTTTTTTTTTTTTTTTGCTGGTTACCCTGTTTGTTGCTAAGAAACAACAAGATATGACAACAATGGATTAGTGATGCAGCATCTTGTTTTCTTTTGATTTTGATTGTGAGCAATTTTGAGTTGTCAGCTTTTGTTTTCATTTTTATTTTCTTGGAAACCAAACATAGGAGTCTGCAGCAATATCACTAATTACTGTATGATCTAGTAGTTAATTGTTACTCTTTTTTGAAAAACATTTATCAAATTGAGCGCATTATGTTTGTAATATTAAAATCCATTTTTCATTTCGGAACATCAAAGATGGATCCTATAATTTGCTTAGGCCAAAGCCAGATTTTTCTTTTTGTTATGGAAAAAGCTAATTTCTGTATCCCTAAGTACTTGATTTCATATGATTGTGGAATGAAAATGCACGTTTATTTTCATCACAGAGTTTGGTGGGTTTGAGAAAAACCCATCGGCGCAATTTTAGTGACGGCATTTTCAAGTAGCAATATGTGCAGAGGGGAACCTGGGTATGCTTTGAGATCCCAGTACTAGGGCAAAGGTTCCCCAGGTATGCTTTGAGATCCCAGTACTAGGGCAAAGGGATTGCAATGTAGGCTATGAAATTGGTAATCGTAAGCATATTCAAGGACTGGCCCCATCTAGAGAAGCTTGAGGCACTGGTGGATGTGGAGAATATTGGGTTGCAGAGGGTGTTGGAAAAGGCTAGGTTTACAAGTGAAGGGGTTTTGAGGAAGTATTATATGCTCAAGTGAAGAACAAGAGAACCCAGATCTGGAGAGGAAGAAGAAGGAAGAAGAGAGAGTGAAAAAATAAGAAGAAGAAAGA